TGTACTAATAATTCAGTTACAGAACGCCGACAAACAGTTTTTCGTGAGTTTAATCATGAATTCAACAACTCAAGAGCGATCAGTCTGTTGAATTATTCATTCATTAATTGCACTTGGTAAGCTATTTGCATTACCAACGGAAGTATGTGCTGCTTTTATCGTATAAACAAATTGTGTCTTCTTCTGCTTTGCTGCTTTTATGTTTCTCATAGTCCACATTTCATGGAATCGACACATGTAGACCTTGGACGAGCGAATAAAGATAAAAAATCCCAGTGTCTGCGGCAAAAAATACAAAAAGTCAAATGCTATATGCAATCGAAGTTGTACATCAGTACTATAGTCTAGACAACGCTGCATATTAGAACTTGATAGTTTATCTAAGATAGAATGTGGCATTGTGCACATAATAATTACTACCGGTGGAATAAAAAAGTCTTTGTGTTTTTTTAGCTGCTGACATATAATTTTGATCCAGTTAGGTCTTTCTGCATCAGTCAAAATAATTTTACGTCGTATGATATGAATTAGAATGCAGATGGTCGATAGAAAATGTAAAACACATGGTATAACTGAATGAATGTACATGCTGGTGATAATTTCATCGACAAGCTTCCAAGTTGACGACAATTGACGCATTTTACATAGATGCATTGTCGGAACAATCGGATGTATTACGCTTTGCGTACCAAAAAACCATGTTGTAGATAATAATATAGTAATGGTTACTAGCAATATCGAACTTATTATGGAGCATTTTCGTGAACGAAAGATACTAAAATCAAAACACTGAATTAACACACGCTCAATTGACGCAAATGCACCACTCCATAAACATAGAATTTGTGCCCAATTCAAAATCATCGAACTTAAATGACAATGAACTAAACTATTTCTATCTAATTCTTGGTTAAAATACAACGTGACAATAACTCGTAGATAAAAACCGCTCATTTCAAGTAAACTTGTAAGAGCAAAAAGTAACAGATAGATCCCACACGATGTAATTCGAATTTTCTTTCGAAGCAAAGTTTCGATCATTAGTAAATTCAGAATGATAGAAGTTGTAAATTGTATTGAAGCTACACTCATATAGATTATTTCCAATACTAACTTCCATTTCGATGATTCTTGTCGAAGTATATCAATTGATGCTGAAGCTGGCATTGAATAACGCAGATAATTATTGAACTGACTTGCATTGCACATCATGAAACCACTGCTATTGTCACTCATTATTTTTTAGCCGCCTCTATTCGTCACCGAAAATATTAGTACATGAATCCGCCTTCTGTAAGTTATTATGTGGAATAAATGAGAAAGTTATACTTAATCTCGCTCATTTTCTGTATTAGGAAGTGAAATAAATGCTTCGTAAA